CTGATGGGATCTTACTGAACATCAAGCAAGCTTTAAAAAAAATTACAAATGAAAGGTTACTCCTTCCCTAAGATGATCTCATATGACTACACGAATACCACCTGCATCTGTTTTACAGCAGCAAATATATCTGCAATTGAAGTGCAATTATAACTCATTTTTAGCAGTGATACATAAATTCCAATTACTGATTCTTAAAAATAGTGTTAGCTGATTTTCCCCATGGTTTGGGGCACCTAACATGGCACCTAATTTTGCAACAAAAATGCTCAGTACATGTTATTTCCATCCCCTAGTATATAATCTTACACTTAGAATATCATTAAATAGGTCCATAAAATAGCTATCATGTATTTAGTGCCTATTGCTTACCACCTTGTACTTGATGTAAGTTGCACAGATTATCTCAATTTTTCCCTCAAAACAACCCTAAAGAGAGTATGACAAATAGCATTTCTTGTTCATAATTTGAGAATATTATTCAAAAAGATTAACTGAAGGTATACTTTTATGGTAGTTCACCGAGCTATTCATGTACTTTTCTGTGTGTGACACTTCAATTAAAAGGTTTAAAAAGAGGGAAAAGTAGCTGAAAGTTAATGCAAGTAGCTACTATACAAGCTATAAAGTGCTGAAATGTTTGGGAGGCCAAGGAAAGCAGATCACAAGGTCAGGAGTTCGAGACCAGCCTGGCCAACATGGCAACACCCCGTCTCTACTAAAAATACAAAAATTAGTCACGTGTGGTGGCGTGCACCTGTAACCCACCTACTTAGGAGGCTGAGGCAGGATAATTGCTTGAACTCGGGAGGTAGAGGCTACAGTGAGCTGAGACTGTGCCACTGCACTCCAGCACAGAGTGAGACTGTCTCGGAAAGAAAAAAAAGTTAGACCAAGATCTGGGTATATTTTATGTCTTCCAAAATGATGAAATTTCTTCCCATTTCAAAATAGTATTTGTTGTCGAGATTTACCTGAATATTCAAAAGCCATTTTTATGAGTAAAGATGAAGTGTCCTTTTCATTTAACTTTAACGGAGTTCTTCCATTTACATAGCTCATTATCAAATAGCAATGTCCTTTTCTTAATGTAATTTAGAGTTACAAGAATGTTTCACCCTTCTTGTGACAGGTTTCGTGATGAGAAAATGAGAGAAAAACAAAGACACCAAGAGGAAAGGCTAAAAGCTGCTCTGGAAAAAGCAGTAGCACAACCAAAGAAAAAGGTTTGTTTTGCTATTAATAGATCCAGCCACATCAATATGTGAGCACCTCTTTGGTACAAAAATACCTTATTCATTTAACTCATTCAGGTTGAACTTCAGAAAGATAATCTTTCTTGCTCACAGCTTCAATTAGTCTCTCTCTGGTTCCTTGTTACTTTTTAGAATAATTCAAATTAGTGGCTCTATAGTTCTCAGACCTGCTTTTTAGTAAAAGCCTCTTTCCTTTTTTTCATAGCCCTAGGTTCATTGAAATCAGATATATGTATTTTTTTTTAGTTTTTTTTTTTTTTTTTTGGGAATAGATTATAATAGCATATGGTTCAAGGTTCAAAAGATACAAGAGTATTCAGTGAAAAGTCACTCTTCCCTCAGTTTCCCTTTCTGGAGGCAACCACTATTAACAGGTTCATTTACATCGCTCTGGAAATACACATGCACAAGTTTGTATTTATGTACATATTCTTTTTCTTACTAATGATAGCTAGGAACTTGGCTTCTTCCACTCAGCAATGTTCTGGAGGTAGTGAACTCAGAGAATCGCATGTAACTGTGGGGCTGTAAATAATCCCCACAATGTAAAGATGATGAGATTGACAGTTGGAGTTAAAACGATTTACCCAGAATCACTTCCGACTTAACAGCAGAATCAGGACCAGAAGCCAAAGTTCTTTATTTTGCAAGACTACCTGTCCAATCAGAAGTTTAGGATTAGGTGGTCACGTAAATGGGGTCCATCACTTCTGCACAGGGGTAAGGAGCGCCTCCTGTTTCTATATGCCACTCTTTCCCTTCTCTGGGATAGGGTCTGAAATATATTCCAGAAAGACAAAAGTTATCTGTAAAGCTATTGTGGACACTGACTCTTACCACAGTAATAGCTAACACATAACGAATGCACTGTGTGCCTTACAACCAACTTCTTGAGGTAAAAACTTAATTTCTGAAGTATGGAAATGGTTAATAGGTGCCATGCCAAAAAAGTGATTACTTCAAAATATTTTATTGAAATAAATACTTCATCTTAAAAAGTGCATTTATCTAGTTCAGTTCTTTCCATGAAGACTTTCCTCACCTGTCCTCTCCTCCCAAGAATTAACCCATTCACCACCCTGCCACATGCACTATTTAGTAAACCCACCAAATTGAAATTATTTTTTAATATATTCACCTTTCCTTTTAGACCATGGGTTTTATGACATTTGTATCCCTAATACCGGGCACATTATGGATACTTGATGTATAGTGAATTAACAGATTATAAAAATGTGCGTAAAAACTAAAAATGAAAAAAACTGGGGAAAACATGGTTATCTGACAAATCAACACACAAAGACCTCTGATAGAAGCTGACCCAGTTAGGATACTTCATCACTGGAAATTTTCTCAAACAATATTAATAACGAATGTTACCAAAGATCTCTGAGTTAAAAATTCTGTTATGCAAAAGGAATTCAGAGATTCTAGTCCTCCAAAGACATTTTTGTTGTTATAGTGATGGAGAATACTGCCATTGTTATTTAGCTTCCCTTGCGCCTGCAATGCAGGGGACAATCTCACATGAGAATTGTCCTAAAATGTCAATAGTGCCTTTTGAACACAGTGGCAAGGTCCCATCAAATCTCATAGAATTATGGTAGTTTCCCCACTTACACATTTAATTTATACAAATTCAGCTATAAAAGCAAAACAGAAACAAAAAGCAGGGGAGAGAATCCCAAAAGTAAAAGAAAAATAAGTAGTAATATACTTGAGTATATGCCCCAGAGAGAATGAATAGGTATGAACTAGGGATTTCCCAAAGCCTCTTCTGTTGGTAACACCTCCAGAAGCCAACCAGTGTTCAAGAAGATGATACATGGTTTTCTGAACTTTTTATTTAACATGATTTCTAAATGCCAGTCAGGTGCTCAACAGGAGAAAGCTATCTCTTCCAACCATGGAGGAAAAACTGGCTATGGCACTTACTGAGAAATAAAATGGTGGCCTTCAACATGGCGCTTTTCTAAGTTGACCACATTTGAACCATATACTATTTGATGACTTTGCCTAAGTTTTCCCACTTCCCAATAAAACCTAACTGCTGTTCCTTTGGCATACTTATCGGTGTCCAATTTGCTATTCAACTTTGCCTAGCATGTTAGACATCTGTTAGGTTATGAGTCCCTTTTAACTGTGATTAGTTAATATTTCAAATGATATTATTCCTTATAAAAATCAAGTTACTATTGGCATTTCACAAACTTCAAAAGAAAACGGCTATGCTCATAAGTATTTTGTTCTTCTTTTGTTTCAGTTGGGAAGACGACTTGTGTATCATTCAAAACCTCCATCTGGTAACAAAGAACAGCTACCTTTAGTCAGTGAGATAAAAACAAAATCACAAGAGGATGAATATTTTTTTACTTGAATAAAAGCAGTAACACATTTTATTACCAGAATGTCTTAGGTATACTTTGTAAATTTTGGCTTTCACTAATGGCAATATTCTGCCCCATGTACCAGGCTTAATCAATTTGAGAAAGATAGGCCCTTATTCTAAGGGCCATAGGATTAGAAATGAGTTATTTTCTTTTGCTGAAGCCTTCAAGTATTCATATCATAAGTATTATTCCATATAGCTAAACATTTTTATCTACACTTTGAGTTGTCCCACTTGGGGATACACATAAGAAATAGTTTATTGATAAAACTGTATGGTAAATGACCACTGAAGTATAATAATGGCCGTTCTCTTACAACATGATTATTTAAATGATGTATTTTCTCAACCCATCTGTAGGGAAGTTCATAGCATACTGTTATTACTATGGAATATACATTTTAACAATGTTCAACCCTAAAATATCTGAAGGGTTTTGAGGGGCTTAAAACTTAACCTCGAGGTTATAGTATCAGAACATCTGTGAGACTGGTTTTTTTTTTTTTTTTTTTTTCTGAGACGGAGTTTCGCTCTTGTTACCCAGGCTGGAGTGCAATGGCGCGATCTCGGCTCACTGCAACCTCCGCCTCCTGGGTTCAGGCAATTCTCCTGCCTCAGCCTCCTGAGTAGCTGGGATTACAGGCACACACCACCATGCCCAGCTAATTTTTTTTGTATTTTTAGTAGAGACGTGGTTTCACCTTGTTGACCAGGATAGTCTCGATCTCTCGACCTCGTGATCCACCCGCCTCGGCCTCCCAAAGTGCTGGGATTACAGGCTTGAGCCACCGTGCCCGGCCGAGACTGGTTTTTATTTCATATTACATTTTGTTGAGAGAACTTTTTTCTCCTTAGTAAACAAACCATGTGCCTTCAGCCTAAATGTCAGTTCCCAATTTCTGTTGTGCCTTGTCTGCACAATCATTTTAATTTTTAGATGTTTCAATTTTAGCTACAATATGTGCATTTAGCTTATACTGACACAGAAGTAACATGTAATTTTACTAAGTAAAATAAGACAGTATATTATTAATACCAAAAACATGTTTAATTTTATACGTGTTAAAAGTGGCTCAAAAATAACTTTAAAAGAAAATGTTACATTTAAAAGGTCTCAGGTAATATATAATTTTACAAGAAAAGGTCTGAAATTCACCTTCATAAAAACATCTAAAGCATATACATAACTATGCCTTATAGGAAAAAAACAAGACTATCAAGCTTACAAAAGAAAAGCAACTTAAATAAAATTCGGTGACTTTTAAAGCATTAGTTTTGTGAGTAATCTTTCCCAGTTGGTTCAGCATTTGAGCTTTGCTTGTAAATATCTGAATACAAATAGTTCACAAGTCAAGTTGAAGAGCAAACAAATCTTTATTGTCTAGAAATATATATATAAAAAAAAAATCCCGGGGGCTGGGGTCAGGGAAAAAAAAAAATCTCCCACAAAATATGCTATTCTCTCATTTCCCCATCTTCTTCCTCTTCTTCCACACCTCTGATATAAAGGACATTATTACACCTGTAAATAGAAAAAGTCCATTTTGTTGTTCCAACCAGAAACCGTGTATGATCTGAATTACTATATTTTTATTATGAAAATACTGAATGCTGTATTTATAATATTCTTGTCTTAAAAAAATTTATATTTGTTTTGAAAAAACGTTTTACATAGATATGTTGAAATGCACATGGCACTGATTTTCCACCATATGGTTTTATAAAATGACATCTTTATAATTTTCCAAGGAAAATAATTATCAGAATTTGGAGCTTTGAAGCTAGTACAGAAAATGAATATAACAAAAATTCTTACAAACAGTCAGACTCAACTAAAATTCAAAACTAAGTGCCCCCAACGAAGGCCACTGAAAAAGGTTATAGCTAAGAGCCAGAAACTTTAACATCAACACTAGAAAAATCTTTTGGCCAGTTCTAAAACATTTTAAAACTTAACTTTGACAAGTTTAACAATTTCAGAGACTTCTGAAGTCTAATTGTAAAGTATTATAAGTTAATAGTGATTTTTAAAAAAATAAGTTAACTCCAAAATTGAGGCATTAATATATTTAAAACAGGTATTCCTTTTTTTTTTTTTTTTTTTGAGACGGAGTTTCGCTCTTGTTACCCAGGCTGGAGTGCAATGGCGCGATCTCGGCTCACCGCAACCTCCGCCTCCTGGGTTCAGGCAATTCTCCTGCCTCAGCCTCCTGAGTAGTTGGGATTACAGGCACGTGCCACCATGCCCAGCTATTTTTTTGTATTTTTAGTAGAGACGGGGTTTCACCATGTTCACCAGGATGGTCTCGATCTCTCGACCTCGTAATCCACCCGCCTCGGCCTCCCAAAGTGCTGGGATTACAGGCTTGAGCCACCGCGCCCGGCTAAAACAGGTATTCCTAATGCTCACCAGTAACTCCTTACATATACCACTGCTGTTTTTTACCTTATTAAAACTTCACCCAGATGTCCAGACAATGCTCCATCTATGTATTCTTCTGTATTTGCAAGCTTTCAATAAAAAGAAATACTATGAGTATAATCACACAAGAGGAAAATATTACAATACAGCTAATATTGGTGAGAGAACTTATTAACTGAGACCTTTCTATACCAACAACTCAAATGTATCTATAATTAATAAACAGAAGATGAGCTTTCTATTACTACTGTAGGACTTTTGGTTTCATATAAACCTTCAGTAAAATTAACATTCATGGATGTAGAACAAATATATAATAAAGCTTGTTTCAACATAAGTTTCTGAATCTCCCAGGTTATGTAATATTTCAGATATCAAAACTGTGTGGAAGCAGGCAGTCTCTAGTTTATGAATAAATTGTGATTAAAACGTTTTCTGAAAATTCATTCTAAAGCACCAAATGTTAAGTCTTCTGAGAGTCAAACATTATAAATCATACTGAGGTGTCCAAATGGGTGTCCAAAAGCTATGGCTACGATGCCAAATACTTTTATGTTAGTCAACATCCAAAGCAGATAATTGAGTAAGAATTTTCTTCTTTTCTTGCCTTTTAAGAAACAGGGTCTCACTCTGTTGCCCAGGCTGGAGTGCAGTAGCACAATCATAGCTGACCAAAACCTCGAACTCCTAGGCTCCTCCCATGTCAACCTCCTGAGTAGCTAGGACCAAGAGCATGTGCCACCGAGCCTGGCTACTTCAAAACAATTTTGCTATACTGCCCAAGCTGGTCTGGAACATCTGCCCTCAAGTGATCCTCCCGCCTTGGCCTCCCAAAGTACTGGGATTATAGATATGAGCCACCACATCTGGCCAATGAATAAGAATCTTTTTTAAATTTTGTACTAATAAACAGGGGAAAAGAAGTTCTTAAGAGAAAGTTAAATAGTTAAGTTTGACCTTTACAGTTAATTTTGTTGAACTCTATTATTTCTAATTTTATACCAAAATGTTTAGCTTTCCTTCTACACATATAGGTAATAAGCTTTACTTGTAATTAAAAAAAAAATCACAATCAATACCACCTGGGACTCAGAGACGGCACTAAGAGGAGCAAAGGGGGAGGGAGGTTTCCTTCACAACTAAGCATGTGGAAAAGGAAAAGAAAAGTAGGGCTTAACAATAAGGATTAAATTAGGATGTAACATAAAGCATGAAAAACATGCTAATGAACACTACTGATGTCACTCCCTCTTACAGAAAACAAAAAGTAATCTACATTATCCGGATGATACAGTTTTGTCTGAAATATATGAAGCTGTTGAGACAGTTTGTATGTAACAGCTGTAAGAAATAATATTAGCCGGGCGCGGTGGCTCAAGCCTGTAATCCCAGCACTTTGGGAGGCCGAGGCGTGTGGATCACGAGGTCAAGAGATCGAGACCATCCTGGTCAACACGGTGAAACCCCGTCTCTACTAAAAATACTAAAAATTAGCTGGGCATGGTGGCACGTGCCTGTAATCTCAGCTACTCAGGAGGCTGAGGCAGGAGAATTGCCTGAACCCAGGAGGCAGAGGTTGCGGTGAGCCGAGATCGCGCCATTGCACTTCACTTCAGCCTGGGTAACAAGAGTGAAACTCCGTCTCAAAAAAAAAAAAAAAAAAAAAAAAAAAGAAATAATATTAAGAGCAATTAATTTTCTGTAAAAGGTAATTACAACATTTAACTGGTTTCTAAACAATAATGCTCCAAATACTTTCTATCATGTATTAAATTCAGTCTTCACCATCACTCAACAGGCTTTCTAAGTCCACCATTCCAGCCTAACTTTCTATCATTCTTCCCTTAACTCAGTCTGCTCTGGCCTTCTTGCTATGCCTTGAACATACCCAGCATGCTTCCGCCACAGGGCCTTTGTACTTGCTGTTCCCTCAAACTGGGATGCTTTTCCCCAGACACTCCGCCTGAGTTGTACACTAATTCTGGTATCCTCCAGAATTTGTTTCCTCAGAGAGGTTATCCTATATAATATTGCACATACTGTCTATCCCCTTTTTCTTCATGGATGGCATCTATCATACCTGTTATCACATTATATTACCACCTCCCACTACTAAAACATAAACTCTGGAGGGCAGGGACTTTGCTTTGTTCAATGCTATATTCATAGTGCCAGTCACATAATGGGAGTCAATAAATATTTGCTAAGGCCGGGCGCGGTGGCTCAAGCCTGTAATCCCAGCACTTTGGGAGGCCGAGGCGGGTGGATCACGAGGTTAAGAGATCGAGACCATCCTGGTCAACATGGTGAAACCCTGTCTCTACTAAAAATACAAAAATTAGCTGGGCATGGTGGCGCGTGCCTGTAATCCCAGCTACTCAGGAGGCTGAGGCAGAATTGCCTGAACCCAGGAGGCGGAGGTTGCGGTGAGCCGAGATCGCGCCATTGCACTCCAGCCTGGGTAACAAGAGTGAAAACTCCGTCTCAAAAAAAAAAAAAAAAAAAAAAAAATTTGCTAAGTGAACAAATTCAAATGCTGGTATCAATATGGTTGACTACTCAAAGTGGTTGATTACCCAGACATTTTGTAACTCTAGCAGGCTCACTAGCAAGCTATATTGATTCTAAAACAAATATTAAGTGGTAATTTTTATTATTGAGATGTTAATTTCCATAGCATAAAATCCAATCTTTTAAAGTGTACAATTCAGTGGTTTTTAGTAAATTCAAAAAGCTGTGCAACTATCACCACTAATTCCAGAATATTTTCAGCACAATTCACTTACGTCCCAGATTTTTCTATGGTCTTGGTAAAAGATTCCTGTTTTAGGGAATTTTCCAAACCCAAACTATGCTTTGGGGACCTTAGTGTCCTGTGCTTAGGTGGTAAATGCTTAAGTTAAGGAAAATCTTCATAGCTCTCTGCCTACTTATGTACTCCTTTTACTACTCTTCTTTCAAGTAGGGAATCCTAGGATTCATGATTGGATTGACCAACTGTCTCGATAGCCTTTAAAAACCTGGCTGGAAACTACTACTATTAAAAAACAACAAAAAACCCAAACAACTAATTTTTTAAATGTGCAAAAGACATAAACAGGCATTTCTCCAAAGATAAACAAATGGCCAATAAACACATGAAAAGATGCTCATCATTAGTCATTAGGAAAATGCAAATCCAATCCACAGTAAGATACCACTTCACACCCATTAGGTTAACTATTTTATAAACACCCATAGAAAATTACACGGGTTGGTGAGGATGTGGAGAAACTGGAACCCTTGTGTGTTGCTGGTGGGTATGTAAAACCACGTAGCTGCTGTGGAAAATAGTGTGACAGAAAAAAAAATTGTTTTGAGACAGGGTCTTATTTTGTCATCCAGGCTAGAGTGCAGTGGTGTGATCACGGCTCACTACAGCTTCAGCCTCCCCAGGCTCAGGTGATCCTCCCATCTCAGCCTCCTGAGTAGCTAGGAATACAGGTGAGCACACCACCATGCCTACCTAATTTTTGTATTTTTTTGGAGAGATGCAGTTTCGCTATGTTGCCCTGGCTGATTTCAAACTCCTGGGCTCAAGCAATGCACCACCTCCGCCTCCCAAAGTGCTGGAATTATAGGCATGAGCCACCATGCTTGGCCTCCTTAAAAAATTAAACATAGAATTACCAGTAATCCAGTAATTCCACTTCTGGGTATATACTCCAAAGAGCTGAAAGCAGGGACTCAAACAGATATTTGTACAATCATCTTCACAGCAGCATTATTTACTACAGTCCAAAGAGGGAAGCAACCCAGCGTCCACCAAGAGGCAAATAGAACAGAAGGTGGTATATCCATACAATGAAATATCATTCAATTAAAAAAGTAATGAAATTCTGACACATGCTGCAACATGGATGAATCTTGAATAAAACACTAAGCTAAATGAAACAAGCCAGACACAAAAGGATAAATATACGATTCCACTTAGATGAGGTATCATGCACAGTTCAATTCATAAACATGTAGAATAGTGGTTACCAGGGGTTAGTTAGGTAGAGAAAGGAATGGAAAATTAATGTTTAATGGGCAAAAAATTTCACTTTGGGATGACAAAAGTTCTGGAAATGGATAGTGGTGATGGTTGCAGAACAATGTGAAGGTACTTAACGCCACTGAATTACACATTTAAAAATGGTTAGAATGGCAAAATCTTAATGTATGTTTTACCACAATAAAGAGAAAATTAATTACAAAAAACCCCACCAAAACTCATGGCTGAATCATTTACAGAAACTCGTTTAACAGACATACAGTCAGTTCAATTCCTTTGGCAGATCTGTCTTTCCCTTGAAGGAATGAACTTCCTCAATAGCTTTGGTGTTGTACCTTTAGCATTCATTAAAAGACTAAAAAATTTCACTTGAAAACTTTCTTTCAGGGCTAAATGATGGGAAAAGTTTTGTTTTCTCCAGCAAAGTAGTGTGTTTCCCTTATGGTATTATCATGAATCAAATGTCTGAGCTCTTCTTACTTTAACTCCTAGGAATAAAATCTGTGGCTGAATTCCAGTTTAAGCCCATGTCTTGTACCTAGTATATCACAGCATCCTCTCTGGCCTTGACTTTATTTTTGAATTCTGCCATATATTTGTCAATTTAGTCAGACTAAACCTTTGAGGAATAAGGTGAAGCAAAATCAATGCAATGTTATGACCTTTACAGCTTACCTGCATGTTCATGTAGCCATCTACAGATACCAGGTAGCCCTTGTACTCCATTCCCCACTTAAGTTTCACCATGACTGGCTTTCCTGTTAGTCCATTGAGGAAAGGTTTTGGATTGAGGGGTAAACTCTGCATAAAGAACAAAAAAGAATCCAATTAATTATTTTTCCTCCCACCACCAAATCCCTTCTGCCAAATCACCAATATTTTCTGGTGTGCAAATGAAGAAAACATAATTTTCACTTTTATTTGTTGAAGATGAGTACCAGGGAAATTTAAATATCCCGTTAGCCAGTTTCACCTTTAACCCATCAAAACAAAATACTCACTATTCACTTAAGATACACTTAACTACCTACATCACTCACTGTTCTGAGCGTGAAAGAAACAAAAATAAAGGCACTAAAAAAAAAAAAAAATGTGGGCCAGGCACCTGTCTGTCATTCCAGCACTCTGGAAGGCCAAGGCAAGGAAATCACCTGAAGCCAGGAGTTCAAGACCAGCCCAGGCAACATAGGGAGACCCGCCCCCCCCCACCAACCTAAATAGTCAGGTGTGATGGTACACACTTGTAATCCCAGCTACTAGGGAGGATAAGGTGGGGGGACTGCTTGAACCCAGGAGTTCAAGGCTGCAGTGAGCTATGATCAAGCCACTGCCCTCCAGCCTGGGTAAGAGCAACACTTTGTCTCTTAAAAATAAACAAACTAATAACAGTCCCTGTCAAGAAGCTGGAGATGAGGAGGGGAGTTCCTGACATACAAACAATTATATTGCATACTGCAGTGTAGTAAGAGGAGATACGCTAGGCACAAGGGTACCAAAGCAATCTACAGAAAAAAAGGAAAGGTTGCCTTAAGTAATACCTCAGTTTTAAAGGATAAGAGTTTATTTCCAGGGGGTGGGGGGTGGAGGTAGGGAGGAAATGCTGTTCCAGGCAAGGGTAGCAACTTACGAAGAGAACAAGATCAAGATGATTTTGGGGACATACAAACAATTCAGATTGTCAGTCAAAGCCCCTAATGTAAGACTGCAGAAGGAAGCAGAGGGCAGATCATGCTTGACAGTCTTTAACTGTGGAAGGTAGGGCTAGGTCCTATCTGACTTTACAGCAATCACTTAATGTTTGTTTATTCAACAAACCATTAGCATCTCCAGTGAATTCAGACATTTTTGGGCCCTCATCTGCTCACTCACCAGTCAAAAAAGAACAGAACTAAGAAACTTGGCTACTAAACTAAGATAAGCATATTGGGAGTGATCTTGGCATGGTGTTACTCCAATAATCTAATGGGCCTCCAGTTTACATTCTCCAATTTATTATCCACCACGCCAACTATTAGTTTTCAAAGTGCACATCAAATTATGTCATATGTCTGCTTAAAATGATTCAATGGCTTCTAACTGAAAGAGAAGCCACTATTCTTGCAAGTGGCTGTACCTTTCTGTCAATTTCTCCAACTGACCAAGCTCTCTTTCCGGCTGCAGATCTTAAACGCTACTATTCCCTGTGCTCGGCACACTCCTCCTGCTCTTTAAAGGGTGGTATTTCAGGACACTTAGGTCTCTGGTTAAATTCCACCTCCTAGGGAGGCCATCTCTGACTAAGCTTCTAATGTCTAACGTGCAACCTCACAGCCTCCGGTCTACATGCTTCTTAGCACTTGTTATTTGCAATTGCATATTTGTTGTTTTTTGACTAACGTCTGTCTTCCCCACCCGACTGAGTTAACAGGGCTGTATCGCTACTTTCATGGAATTACAGTGAATTTTGGAGAGTGGTAAATGAGAAGTGCAAACTCTCAGTTTTACGCCGACCCTGAAGCCCCAACCAAAAATACCCCAGGCTCGGATTCAAACAAAGAGGAGGCAGCACGGGCACTCCTAAGAAAAAAAAAAGGCAACGGGAGGAACACGCGCCTCAGAAACCCCAAGAGCAGAGTGAAAGGAGCTGGCGACTCGGCGCACGGCGCCTCACGCGGATGAATGAGAAACGCGCGAAGCAACCATCAGGCCCCGCGAGACTGGTCTCCCTCCTCTTTCTCCCAGCTTCTCCCGCCATTCTCTTTCTCCTTACCATCGTAACCACGGGCGAATGCTGCAGGCTACTCGCTGCCAACCAGGCCGCCGCTCGTCCCTCGTGACTACAGCAGATACCGCCAAGTCCCGAACCGCCGAGCTTCAAGAGAAATGGCCGCCAAACAGGAGTATGACCTTTCACCTCCCACCACGGTCCTTCCGGCTCCTGTGATTGGACGCAAAGAGATGCGTGCTGATTGGAGGAGGTGGCTGGGCAGTATCTCCTGGCAACCAGCGGTGGTGTAGGTTTGCGCCTTGCCCGAGGCGCTTGGCCTTGGCAGACCCGCTCTGAGGGTCGCCGCGAGGCAGTCAAGGACTAGAGGCCGGCCGGTGTTTCTAAATGTGCTGCCCCTCCCCTAGGGACGGTCGGGGGGAGGCTGTGTGCCCTTTAGAGCGGACTGATGTGACTTCTCCCCAGCTTGGCTCATGGGGATTTACGTTGTCTTTTTACACCCGTGAGAGTAAGTTCGGAGTCCCAGAGTTCCTTTCTCACTCTTCCAGCAGGTTCCATGATTTGGGGGCGCCTCTGCCGCAGGCCCTTTCCGCCAGAGGTTTTTCTTTAATGCAACATCCATTTCAACCCCTTTTAAAGGAATCGGGGGTGGGGGGGCAGCCAGACTAGATTAGGACCGCGAATCGCACCGAAGGGAGTAGGGGACAGAATTTCTCTCTAACGATGCCAGGTTGCATCTAGGATAGGGCGTCATGCCCTCCCCCACCTCCCACCTTCCTTCCTTCCTTTTCTTCTTTTTTTTTAAGTAACTTTATCGAAACATGTTTTATAATGCATATTCTTAAGACTCTTCTTCCTGAAAGGAATAAAGAATTAGTTTGAGATTTCCTTCTATAAGGGATACCTTTATATCAGTTAGTTGCTAAGTTCAGGGTACTGAACAGCTTCCAATTCAGATCTATAAACGACAAAATAGTTGAGTGAAAACACATACACAGGATTTGGAGGTAGCAGAGAACAATTGTTCTAGAGCCAGACAGACCTGGTTTGAACCCTGACTCCCCGGATGTAACCTTGGGCAAGTTGACGTGACCACACTGTCATTTCTCAGCACCTTTACTGCTGCTCGATATGTTCTTGAGGTCTTTCATTAGTGCTAGAATAATGATGCAATGATAGTGATGCCTGTAATTACGACAAGTGGAAACTTGCTGTTTCCTCCCTTAACTAAAATTTGAAAGCCATAATTGATTAAGTTTGCTCACCTTTCTTTTTCCTCTCCAGCAGATACCCCCACGGCCTTCTTATGTGCATTTGAAATTACCCAAGGGCGTTAAGCAGTATTTCTGCTATCACGGATTAAAACTTTCGATGTTAATGGTGCTATCTGAATTTCACTAGTTTTTCCCGTAATCCGAGTGAGTTCAACTCACTCGGATCTGAAATGGTAAATGCAGTTTTTGGAGAACTCGCCCTTTGGGAAGTACGGCTTTTTTGCGGCCCTGAAGAGATGGGTTTGGAATTGAGGGTGACATGTTTGGTGTTGAGGCACTGTGGAGCAGTGGGTAAGGCTTGAAGAGTCTCGCCTCTATCAGGCGCGGCTGGTGTTGAGCAGTGTCTGAAACCCCGAGGGCCATTGTTTCCTGGGGAGGAATGCAGCTTCAAAAACGGGACCACCTCAGCTTGGTTGTAAAACAGGGCTTGGCCTTGCAAAGGCTCAGTAGACGTTAAATATTGTTCACATAAATGTTGAACACTGACAAGACAGTGATTTTCAGTGTAGTTTTTAACCAAACAAGTTATTAGAATGTATTCACCCTAAACTTCAGTGGATTTCTCCTTTAGCTTGCCTATTGTTTCATGAATGTTAAGTCTTTGTATATATAGACTTTGGGTTCCTACTATGTGTCAGGCTCTTTCAACAATTGTGGAAATCTTACCACACCGTCTGATTTGGGGTGACAGCCCCGTTTTAGAGATGAGGAAGCAGGCCCAGCAGGTAACTGTTACTGGTTGAGGGTAGCTGTCTGGGTTCTTAGCGTTTTGAACAAAGAATTGGACAAAACGCACAAAGGCAAGGCAAGCGAAAGCAGAGATTTATTTTAAATAAAAGCACACTCCGGGGGCTGAGCACTGCCTAGTGCAAGCTGCTCAGGAGCATCGGTTACAGAATATTCTGAGGTTTAAATACCCTCTAGAGGGTTCCCATTGGCCCACAACCAGTCTGATTGGTTGCAGGAGGGGACCAATCAGAATGAAGAGCAAGCAGTGTGACTGGTTGTGGGAGAGACCAATAAGAGGTACTTTGATTTTTTTCAACTGCCACGCAGACAAAAGGGGCGTTGAAATCGGAGTAGCATCTGATACCCAGTCAGTATGAATGGGCCCTAGGTTCCCTGCCTCCAGCCCCTATCCTTCTGCCTCCTAACTTGCTCCGGGCCACGTACCTGGGTTTCAAAACTGCGTTTTCTACTTCATAAAGCTACCTTTCAAGGATTCAGTATGTATTTAGAAGCCTAACTTTTATCTTCAGCTGTTTTCTCGGTGAAGTGAAACAAAATGCTACAATAAACATGCTATGTAAAGATAGTGTATTTAAGGTTGGTTTTTCTCTTCATGTTAATTTTTTTTTTTTTTTTTGAGACAGGGTCTCACTTGTCACCCAGGGTGGAGTGCAGAGGTGTGATCTTAGCTCACTGCAGCCTTGACCTCTTGGGCTCAAGAGATCCTCCCACCTCAGCCTCCCAAACAGCTGGGACCACAGGCATGTGCCACCATGCCCAGCTAATTTAAAAAAAATTTTTTTTGTAGAGATGGGTCTTGCTATGTTGTCCAGGCTTATCTCAAACTCCTGGGCTCCAGCTGTGCACCCACCTTGGCCTCCCAAAGTGCTGGGATTACAAGTGTGAACCACCATACTTGGCCTATATTAAATTTTAATCTTAAATACCTTATTAAAATTAAGTGGGCATAAGTCATTGATGTTTTTCTAATTATAAATATACAAAATTTTAGAAGATATAGAAAGTTCTAAACAATAAACCTAAAATCACTAGTAATCGCACCAATCAAAGAACACAACTGTTAACTTTTGTTGTAACATATGCACTTTTGTTTTTTTTACAAGAGATCTATATATAGTTTTTTGTTTGTTTGTTTGTTTGCTTGCTTTTTTTAAAGACAGAGTCTCTCTCTGTCACCCAGGCTGGAGTTAAGTGGTGTGATCTCAGCTCACTGCAACCTCCGCCTTCCAGATTCAAGCAATTCTCGTGTCTCACCCTCCCTGGTAGCTGGGACTGTAGGCATGCACCATCATGTCCAGCTAATTTTTTGCTATATTTTTTTAAGTAGGCATGGGTCTTACCACTTTGCCCAGGCTGACCTTGAACTCCTGAGCTCAGGTAATCCGCCCACCTCCGCCTACCAAAGTGCTGGGGTTACAGGCATGAGCCACTGCACCCAACCTACATACAGCTTTGTAACTTGTTTTCTTCACTTTATATTGAGCAAATTCTCACTTAATTAAATAGATTAATAAAATGTGGCTTTATGTCGTCATTATACTTTGTATTTTGCATCTGAGATAATGTATTCTTTTATTATTTCCATTTACCTTCCTGTTATAAACAGTGTGCACTGAACATACTTGTACATGAATCTTCGAGTGTATTTTTTATTCTTTACCATAAATTCTTAGAAATACAATTCTTAGATTAAAAAGCATTACTATTAGAATTTACTATCACTATTTAGAAAGCAAATATATACCTGTATATTGCCACGTTGGCATATGGCTCCACAGAATATCCATCAGAATAATTGGTTCAAATATGGGAGAAATAACAGGCTTGATATTTTTCGAAGATGAGATAGAATACATTTTGAGGACATGACAGTTTGGTGAGTTCTACCATTACTTCTCCTATAGCTCAAAAATTCCAGTGGTATACAACCATCTAAAAAGGAATTTGTCAAATGATTTAAAAATATTTACAGAGGTGAGTAAAATGAATGTGTGATGTCTGCCCTTGCGGAACTTTAAAACCTCTTGGAGAATAAGGGGACCAATACGTATTGCATGCCTTTCATGTTATGCTAGGATATTTTATTATGTAATTTGTCTAAATCTTCAAAGTACTTCAAGGTAGGTATTATTATCATCCCTATTTTAGAGATGAGGAGACAGCTTCAGAGAGATTATATATTTTTGTTGAAAGCCATGTGGAAGGTAACATGGCTCCAAAGCCTAAGGCTTTTCTTTTATACAATGCCGCCAATCCCAAAAATGTGTTTAAGTAGAGTACAAATAAACAAATATAGAGAAATACAAATATTAATGCAGGATGAAGAAGGATAGCGTTTAGGAAGTTACTTTTGAAGTTGATCAGCTCTTCTTTTTATTTTGTTTACTCTCATAATTCGAACATCTTATTTTTTTCTAATTGTGGCCAGAATCATATATAGGTATGGTCAGAAAAGGTGTTTTTTTTTTTTGTTTTTTTTTTTTTTTTCTGAGAGAGTTTCACTCTTGTTGCCCAGGCTGGAGTGCAATGGCATGATCTCGGCTCACCATAACCTCCACCTCCCAGGTTCAAGCGATTCTCCTGCCTCAGACTTCAGAGTAGCTGGGATTACAGGCATGTGCCACCATGCCTGGCTGCTTTTGTATTTTTAGTAAAGACAAGGTTTCTCCGTGTTGGTCAGGCTGGTCTTGAACTCTCAAACTCAGGTAATCCAGCCACCTCTGCGTCCGCCTCCCAAAGTGCTGGGATTACAGGTGTGAGCCACCACGCTTGGCCCAGAATAGGTTTAAAGGAGGAAAAATCCAAAATTTGAGTGCTTTCTGTCTGGTAGAAGCTTTTTATTTATTTTTCGTCAAACCTGAGAGATGTGGCGTTCTGTCTAGTGAAGAAGTTAAGATTCAAAAATACATGAGCTTCCTTGGATCATACCAACACTGAGCCTAGATTAGCATTCAAATCTTTTTGGTGGTTCAAAGCCCATTGTACCATAGTAGAGAGACAGTCGTACCTCAAAGGCGTAGGGGCATAAGAACCCCCTCTCTCACCTCTTGAAGTTTGATATTTGAGTCTGAGAAATTAATAGACAGTAGACCAATTACAAGGAGAAAAGGCACAGCATAATTGATTTACATGCATGGGATCATCACAGGAAGGTGAAT